ACAAACAGTCTGCGACGATTTCATCTAAACGTCGAAGTACGCTGAATGTACCAGCGCAAGGCACGTAAGGGACACAAAAGCCTAGTCCTGTGGAAACTAGAGGTAGAGATAGGAAGCTGAAGTATATGATATATCCTATGTCCCAAAGTACCACAAGCTGAAGTTTGATTCTTGGCAATGAACTCCGGCACAGTTCTAAAAGTTATGTTTATATCCTTCCGAAAAAGTGATGGATTTAAAGTCAATAGCATGTAATTCCGACACTCTGGAAGCTGTTGCAAAAGCCAAAAGAAAGGCCGTCTTAAATGTCACATACTTTAGAGAAGCATCCTGCATAGGCTCAAAGGAGATTTTGAAGAGATTTAAGTACTAACGTTAAATCCCACTTAGGAAAAATCGTTAAAGACGATATAACCTTAATCTGAAAAGATCTGATCATTTTGTGTATTCGAGCCCACAGATAAACCTTGAATATCAATGACTGAAGCAATAACTGATCGATATCCCTCAATAGTATTATGCTTCAAATGTTTCGGTTCTCTTTTAGGAACAAGATAAAATCCACTATCATTGGAATGGTGACCTATCGGGTTGCCTGCTGGTAAGATGGCAGTCCTGCTGCAGGAAGAGAGAAACAACAAAACCACTTGAGTGTCACTCAAGTTTACTACTGCCATGGCGGGGTTCATGGTAACAAGGATGGGAACCCCGTACACCTAACACCATATAAGGTGGCAGGTTACTGAGAGTTACTTCCCTTACGCCATGTACGAAGACCAATGACGCTGACGCTGACGCTGCCGTAACAGAGTGACAAAACCCCCAAAATGCAAAGATTTTTGGGGGTCCCTTTAAGGAGGCGATTACCACATATTACATACATATATCCAAGATTCCACACGCTCGTCTCCACTGGATGAATCGTCGCCACTTAGTGTCGTACAAGGCAGCTTTGGAAAGTCTAACGGATTCTGAAATAGCTCTGGTAGCTTCAACCGTAAATCCCTGATTCCTGAGTGACCTTTGAGATAGCTTCCATACGTGTAGCGCAAGTTGCCTGACATTCTTGTGAACTCTGATGGACAAGGGTTTATTGGGGCGCGAGGGGCGAGCTGGCTAAAGCGCCAGCGAAGTTGAAGGTGTCGGGATCGAGCCCACCTGTGACCGGGTGTAAAACCTTGGCGTCAACTTTGTGTGCAGACTCTTTCAGTGTTGTCACAACGCCTAGTGTACAGTACACAACCCTGTGCACTTAAAAAACCACGAATCAGTTGGTATATGACCAGATGGTGGCCCCATGAATACGTGCAAACGCCTAGTTACGGGTACAGCAACGTGCAGTTACTACAAAATGACTTGGTTTCCTGAAATCTGAAACCATCTGTATACTGGGTAAATGGGGAATCCATTTGGTTTCCATTTTCAAGTTATAGACTTGATGGAACTCGATAAGCAATTGCGTGTCGAAATGTTGGCAGGAGATATGGCTTCCTTTACTTAGTCAACTCAAGAAGTCGATTGTGATTTGGATCAGGTCACATACGACTAAATGGTTCATTATCGTAATGTATGAAATATTGTCTTTGTAAGAACAATATGAACCACAAATATATCCAGCAATGTCACGACTCAAGATAACTTCCAAACGTATTTAGAAGTATTCTAATATTTTTGCAAGAAATCCAATGATTGGAAGTTCTATTTTAAAGTTTGTTATTGGAAATTGCTTTTGATATTTGTACCAATTGAAAACAATTCAGTGGGGATAGTGAGTCATTTTGCATTTATAGGAATTCTCTGAACAGATTTGGTGCATGGTTAGAGTGAAGTTTCAAAATTCTTTGTCTAGTTATTAGAGTTACAAGACAGCCTATGACAAAAAGATCGACAATATTTTTCAGCCAATTTTTAAGAAGATATTTATCATGATACTATAATGCTGTGGATAAATTGTCAACACAATATTTTGGAAACTGTTTTTAAAATGTTTTCAAGTCAGAATAGGATAGATTACTGATGTATGAGGTAATTTAAGTTAATCATCTGATGTAAACGATTTTACACTTAGAATGTCAAGATATTTAACTCTGAATGAAGAGATGTGGATATTGTTAGATCCACAAAAGAGGTTTGCAAAAGAATTTGGATATATAGAACGTTTAATAGGATATGTTGAGGATACATTGGTGTACATTGTCAAACTAAAATTATATGAACTTGTAAATTTCTGGCTTCTTTTGATATTAGCATATCTACACCTTTGCAAATTGATATTTATTCTTCTATTTTCATGCCTTTATTGTTATCAAGAGTACAATATCACTTAGAAAGTTCCTTATTTTCCCCCTTAATTTCTATATTTCCAGCATTCCATTGGGGCAGTGTTGGAAAACTGAAGATGACTAACTGATCTTGACCTGCAACAGGTATGTGTAATCCAAACCCTTCAGTAAATGATGTACATAAAATTATCCAAATAATGTAAATCCTATGAAAAAAAAAAATACATAAAAATTACACAACCACTATTTTCGTAACTTCCAAAATGGAAATATTTTCCACTTATACACATCTCCTTCAGAAGCAGTTTGAGGTTTTGGACGAACAAGAGGGTTCGTTCACCTAGAAGACAAAGAAGTGGGAAAGCAGAGGCCTTTGTCAGCAAAAACAACAAAAGATTCAGATGTGTAAGTAAATTCTAACCGTTCTCAATTCTAATCTTACACAGTTTAAAAATTTAAGAAAAACCTTATTTGAAAAATCAAGTTAATGTCATTTCTTGAAAATGTGCACTTGATATTCCAAAGAACTTTCAAAATAAACACTGTTTAATACGTGCAATGTATAATTAGAAATATGCAGCCAAAAGAGTTTTTAAATAGAGTACATAGTAAAGCGCCAATGTACATTAAGTTTTGGTCTGGACATATTTCACCTTGCACACATCAATTAACAATTTATTAACAATACCCCACTCAAATAGTAGCTGCAAACACATTGTCAATAACAGTATGAGATATTAGTTATGGAGGTCCGCCTATGACCCCATTCAATTTCTTGTCTGTCAGAATGACCCCACATTATTTTTTTAAAACCCAAATATTTCTTTTCACATTATTTTCAGAATAATGGATAATTCGTAGTTCTATACATATAATATCAAAGCATAATGTATGTAACATTCAGAAAATAAGTTATAGCTTTCACATGAGAATTTCTCGGAAAATTAGGCGATGATAGCATGGATTTAGTGTGCATTCGTAAGAAATGTTATTAATTCAATGTCAATGTTTTCTATAAGTCACAACTGTTATTTAGTGAAAGAAAATATTTTTGTCAGTCATCAAATGTCCAACCCAAGCTAAGGAAATATGTCCTTCTCTCTCTTGTCTCTATTCTTACAAATTTCATTAAGTTCTTCTTGCGATTGAAACTTTTATCGTTTTTCAGGTCAAATGATCAGTTTGATGTATTGACCTTCGTGTTTATTGGACAGTGGTTACAGTTTATTTTTTCTCAAGCTTAAGAAACATTGGACAGTTTTCCTTTCTCCAGCTAGCCATATTGTTGACGAATGCTTCTTAGTACTGATTGTTTATTGTTTTCTAACTTTCAGAAGCTGGAAAGCAGGAGGAAGTCGTGACAACGATTGACTGGCCGGAGAAGAAACAAAAAGTTATTCCTCTCTTTGGGGAAAGAGTTAACATTTCTCAAATTGGAAAACCAAATAATATGGATTCATCTACATTGATGAGTTTAAGAAAACATTCCATACTCACTGCTATTTATTCCTTATTGCTTTTAATTATTTATGCATTTTAAAAATTCAGTTTTTATTAATGTGAACATTCCAAATATCATTTGTTTATCAGCAAATTTTTGAATGTAAATAAAGCTATCATGACTCTGTGTTTTATTCTGTTATTTGTCATCCTGACGGTTTTACCATTGTGCAATTGTATAAAATACCTGATTTGGTATTTGTGTTGCATGAAACACAACCTTTTTCTGGAGGAGCGGGTAAGGGGGCGGGCACAACAGATTCAGTTTCATGGAAACCAGGTTATAAGCCGGGAACTAGGTTGGAAACAACAATAAACTAAGCACCAGCAGGAGCCTCCATGAACGAGTGGGCAAAGTCCCGACATGGATACTATTCAGATACTGGTGCAAAATTTAGTTTCAGTTTTAATGAACTAGGTTATAAGTTGGAAACTAGGTTGAAACCAACAAGTAGCTAAAACATGTAAACCAGGTTGAAACCTACAACAAACTAAAACATGGAAACCAGGTTGAAACCTACAAAAATTAAAACATCGAAACCAGGTTGAAACCTACAACAAACGGAAACATGGAAACCAGGTTGAAACCCTACAACAAACGAAAACATGGAAACCAGGTTGAAACCTACAATAAACGAAAAACGGAAACCAGGTTGAAACCTACAATAAACGAAAAACGGAAACCAGGTTGAAACTTACAATAAACGAAAACACGGAAACCAGCTGGATCCAGCCTGGAGGAGTTGGTAATGAAACGCACTGGAAACCAGCCGGAAATGGTGCAAAATTCAGTTTCAGTTTTCATGGAAACCATAATGAAACTATAGGAAACTATATGGAAACCAACTGGAAATGGTGGTTTCCATGTCGTTTCTTCTCAGTTTCAGTGTTCCGGAAACCAACTTATTTTTGTAGTGAGTGAACTTGGACAAAGTACTGTGACTATGTGTCCGTGTCCACCTAGCTATGAATTTGGTACCTCGTTAGGATGAGAAAGCCACAATAAAACTTGGTGTGCCTAGTGGCAGCAAGAGTTGTATACTCCCCACGGAGTTGAGATTGACAATACCATGTGACGTTGAGACTGACATCCAGGGATCAAGGGAAAAAATACCAGCGCCTTGAGCAAGCAATAGTTGCGTGGATATGTGCGCTATATAAATATCATATAATAATAATTGTGTTGACTGATTAGAGTGTGCCACAACGGAAGACGTAGAGGTTTGTCCACCAATAGTTGTAGTAGGCTGGGAAAGTCTGGCAGGCCATGCTGGTGCCACTAGATAAACTAGACAGTCGTGTTGTTGAATTTTTAACAGAACCTCTGGGATTAGTTTGAACGGAGGAAGCGCATAGGCTATCATCCCCTCCCATGATATGGATAGTGCGTCGACTGTCCATGTCAATGGAGCCGGTACTGGACTCACAAACGTTGGTATACTAAAATTCCTGGAAGTCGCAAATAAATCTGTTTTGAATTTCCCACTTCTGTCCTATCAAATCGAAAGCCTCTTCCTTGAGAGTCCATTCGGTCGAGATCACTCTGTCCTGTAGAGATAATGAGTCTACTAGGATATTCTTCCGACCTGGAATGTGTCGCGCTCTGATTAAACAATTTTTACCGTCCACTGCTTGATACAGATCCTGAGTGATCCTGAGGAGCTGTTGAGATTTCCTACCTCCCTGTTTGTTGATGTATGCCACTACCATAGAATTGTCCGACACTAACATGAGACTCTTCCCGTACAAGCGATTCCCCAAGCAACGAATCGCTTTCAACAGTGCTAACATCTCCTAACAGCTTATATGCAGATTCACCTCTGACAGATTCCACACGTTGAATGTCCATGTGTGCACCACAACCCGTATCAGATCCAGTAAACGAGGACGTAATGAAACTCCTGACAACACATTCATGTCCACCGTCTACCATAATATCTCCCATCAGACTCTGTCTGGACAGGCTATGAGCAGTTCCAAGTCCTCCATCCGAGACTGATTGAGCCAGATTGCGGGATTCTCAACCTAGTCTTCCTCTTACAGTATAATCCTCTCGATTGAAGTGAGAGATCCTAGAAGGGACATCCATGAACGGACTGATGCAGTTGACGTCTGTAACATATTGGTTTTCTTGGTTGATATTTCCACCGAATGATCTTGAGGAGTATAAAACGGCCTGCTCTTTATTCTCGTAGAAGGGACCAGTTCTGACTTGGTAGGATGAACTATGAGACCCAGATATGTAAACACGTGGATTATAACGTTGGTTTGCTTCATGAGAATCGCTGTCACCACATTCCTTGCCAAGAAATCGTCCAAATAACCGTGTATCGCAATCCTTCGTTGAAGAAGAAAGCCAGAATCGGGGAGATTATTTTGTGAACACCCACGGTGCTACAGATATCCCGAACTGCAGCACCCTGAACTGAAACCTGCAGCCATTCACCGCAAATCTTAGGTATTTGCGAGATCTTGGATGAATAGGGATATGAAGATACGCATCCTTTAGATCCATGCTTATACACTTGGAATCCTGACGAATCAAGGTGCGTAGGTTTGCAATTGATTCCATCCTGAACTTTGGCAGTTTCCTCAAAAAATAGCTTGTTCAACACTTTCAAGTCTATTATCATGCGCATTTCTGTCTGAATTTTTCTTGGGGACTAGGAATACCGGTGAATAAAACCCGCATGTCTGATCCCCTGGAGTAAATTCTATGATTTCCCGTTTCTCCAGTAGCTAATTTATTACTAAATATCGCCCTGCTAAACGCTGGCCTTGAAGACAAAACTGACGACCCTCTGGAAAACAAGTCACTGGAGGTTGCTTGTGCCAAGGAAGAATTAACCCCGTGCTCACTACAGACAGGACCCACTCGTCTGATGTTATTAATTTCCAATTGTCTAAGTATTGGGCCAATCTGCCCCCTACTGGAGATTGTGTCACCGGACATACAAATTCCAAATCCAATATCATTTCGAGGGACGTTTCCAATTCGTAAGGAAGAGAACGCTGAACAGTGAGACTTGAGTCAATATTTCTTGGAAGTTGATCTTGATCCACGAAAAGATCTACCTCCCCTACCTCTACCCCTAGATGAGGATGAGCCTCTAGTAACAGCCACATTTGTAGAACACGCTCTTGAATCCGAAGCCCGATCAAAGGCAGATCTCTGAAAGTTCTGACTACGACTTGATGAAGATGGAGCAGAACAAGACGTATCACTGGATCCCCTTCTAGATCTAGTGTCAGCCCTTCCTCTATTTTGGAATAAAAGAGCCGACGCCAAACGTTGATTCAAGTTCCTCGACGTCAAGGCATCTCTAGCTTCAATAGCCTGTTGACATTGTCCATTAAAGGTGTTATCCGATTCCAAGGGCTGGTGCAATAGAAAATCCCTTGAAACATCCGGTAAATTCCTCACTGAATCTAGCCCTTGTATCCGCTCAATAGCTGTAAGTTGTCCCAACATATTCACTTGAGTCGTCATCGCATCGGCTAAGGACTGATACACTACATCCCGAAAGGCATGCGCTAACGCCAATTCTTGAGCAGTCATGGAAATCAAAGCGTCTTTCTTAACTCCCGTATAATCTTGAAACACCGGTGGGAGCAAAGCACGAACTCCCACAGAAAACCAGTTTGAATAAGATAGGGTATCAATCGCCGAACAGGCTGCCGTATCCAATTCCTTACAATTCTTGAAGGTACAGAACGGTGCATAGTCACGAGAGCCTCTAGCATCCTGTAACTGTTTAAAGTCCTTGTCTAAACTTGGTTGATTGGCTGGGATAGGATAACACAGTTCGTAGCCTGTTCGTAGTTATAATTCTCCAACACTTTCTTAAGTGATGATGAATGTGGTAATGACAGCCTGGGCATCCGTTCCGGGGGAAGGCAACCTGATAATCCGAGTTCCACGGGAATATCTATCTCCTGTTCGTCCGACGGTGGTGGTAGAGTATTAGGATAAAGTCCGTGCAAAAGTTCCAGCTTTTCTTTAAATGACCAGCCCGTCTTAAAATCCTGTGCTGACATGTCCATAGGTTGTACCGTCAACAAGCCTTCTTTCATTGAAAACTCCGGTTACGAAAAAGGATACACCGATAAATCCTCCTGATCCGTCACATCAGACACTAACGGAATTAAGGGCGGATTGTCCGTGTTTTCTGAACTGCTAGGCCCCTGCAAATCAGAGGGCTGGGTTGATACACCATTATCCATAGCAGCCGACCCAGTGGCCTGGCTTGAGCTGGGGCGGGAATCACGTGCCGTCTGAGCCGAGTCAGACCCGTGAAACCCTAGCCGCCCGGTCTCCCCGTGGGAGAAGGTAGCAGGTTTTTGCGACAGGGAGCAGCCACGGATGACTGGCTCCCAGGGACAAAGGACGCGGGTGTGTGGCCCGAACCACGGTCACCCCGGATCCGGATCTGGAGCCGGCTGGGCCGAACTCCATCCCCTTCGTTTCAAGCCCTTGGCTTCTCACCATGAGGGGACTGGCCTCCTACGTACGCCAGGGCGTGATAACCTCTTTTCAGCCAGAGTACCCCTGGTTTCCGTAGGAAGGGACTTGGGTTCCCGGCTCTTGTCATCGACCACCAAGCCCCTACGGCTGTCTGCCGTCTTGCCGGATAATACAGGATCTTCCAAATGTTTTGACAGGTGATCAAATGTTTCGTCATTCCTCATTTCCATATCCCGTACAGATTTATCCATGGCCGACTGAATATGGGATTTAAATCCCGCCAAAAGTTCTGAGAACACAGCTATATCCAACTGGGGAGAGGATTTTGATTTAGATCTAGAACGAGACTTCGGTTCAGATTTAATAGATAAAGGTGGAGATCCCTGAACTTTCTTCGACTTAGAGCATTCTGATGACGATGAGAGTTTACGCCTTCTAACTAAGGAGCGAGATTTGACCATCAACAACCTTCCGACATTTCCTGACACAATAAGCATCGATCCGAGATTGAGCAAGGTAAGCCTTTATAACAGGAAGCAGGCAGAGGGGGATCAACATCCGCCATGAATTTCTGACATTGTAAACATTTGCTCTGCGCCATACTTGTCAATCAAAAAAAGGGCGGGAAAACTTCAGATCCTAAGTACGTTGGAAATATATAT